TTATGATAGTGTATAAGGTGCAAAAGAAGTCCACATAGTAGCCAAAGGCACGACTCGTGGACAGAAATGTGTAGTAGCCGGAGCTATGCAGATCCTGAAGATTATCGAACTCGGCAATAAGCGCCTTCTGTGCGCCCAATGCCCTGATTGTGGTCAGTCCATTAAGTGAGGTGCTGAGATGGGAATAGATGGGAGATCTGGCAACTGCCTCCAAACGCTTCACATCTCTCGAGGTCTTAAGGTAGAATTCTCTGATATAATAGAAGATAACACCCAGCACCAATGTCAGTAACAAATAATAGGGATTGGTTATGCAGATGACCACTACGACACCAGCCAATAAGAGAAAGATTTGCACAACATCCAACAGAATGGTTGGCAAGACTTCATCAAGTTGTCCAAGATCCTTCGAGAATCGATTCAATATACGACCAGAGGGATTTGTGTTAAAGAAGTACATAGCTGCTCTGGCAATGCCACGGAACATGGAATTATGCATCTCTGTGGAGCTGCGCCTGGCCATCGAATAGAAGATAATTGGGCGCATTACGCTTAGCACAATTGCAGCCACATTAAGCGCTGTGAAGTAGTACATGTCGACGGGTTCGTATGTCGAATCTGCGTTGTTCTTATTTTTGTTAACCCTGGGGGTAAAGAAAATATCGTTATTCTAAGAGTACACTCCAATAAGATCAGCAAGACTTACCAGTAGGAGAGAAAAACATCTGCTGCTGAGGTCACAACTTGTGTGCCCACACATAGAACGATCATAAAAGTTATCAGGAACAAGCCACTGCCTGCTGCAAAGTATTCCTTATAAAGACCTAGGCTGACTTTGCCCTCGACGCGTGTCTCCTGCGGTACCATGGCCGTGTCCTGAATGACCGAATCAGCCAGGGAGCTCAAGGAAGCAAAACTCTCATTGCGTGAAGCCTGACGGCTGGTTTTTGAGTGTAGGCTAACACGATCCCCAGCATCGCTCTTTTGGGTTTCCAGTGCCTTCTCATCTGCCTGGTTGATATCGGTCAAGAGCTGTGCAAAGTCCAAGCCACTGTGCTGCATCGTTGCATAGGTTCCCATTGCACTGATTTTACCCTTTTCCATGATAACAATCAGATCGGCGTGCTCCAGAAACTGCAGCTGATGTGTTACCAATATGACCAGCTCGTTTTTTAGATACCCTCTCATGCACTGGTCAAACAGATGACGACCCACGTGCGTATCCACAGCACTGAGTGGATCATCCAGCAGGTAAATGTCCGCCCTACGATACACAGATCTTGCCAGACTGATGCGCGCCTTCTGTCCACCCGAAAGAGAAGCTCCTCGCTCGCCAACAATCGTCTTATCACCCTGCGGAAGTAGCTCAAAGTCACGTTCTAAAGCACACTTCTTGATGACTGTGCGATAGCGATGCTTGTCCAGGGTTAATCCAAACAATATGTTTTCACGGACAGTTCCAGTGAAGAGCCAAGGCTCCTGAGCTGCATAGGAGAAACTGCCGTTGACTTTAAGGCTGCCTTTTTCACCAGGCAGCTCGCCGAGAATGGACTGTATCAGACTGGATTTGCTTGCGCCGACGGGTCCAATCACCGCCACGAGCTGTCGGCGACCCAATTTCAGATTGATATTGTCCAGGGTGTTCTCTGTGGCGTTGGTGTCCCACTTGGCATAGAACTGGTTAAACTCCACGAGCGTCTCCTCATTGCTATTACTTTTTGCCTCAACTCCATTGTCATTGTTGCTCAGTGTGCCATTTTTCTTATCGGTTTTCTCGTTAGTAAAACCAGGCGCAGTTATTGCATTCGATTTGTCTAGCACCTGAGTCTCATCCCTTAGCATAAAGGTCTCCAGACGCTTAATGGACACCGTTATCTCTGCTAGTTGCGTAATGCTAAGCGGGAAGAAATTGGTGACCGCTCGCTGCAGCAGATTGTAGTAGGCCGTTATGAAGAAGGCCTCGCCGGCAGTCAAGACGTTTCCTAGCAGCACAAACCCCACCAAGCTGACAAAGGTAAGGGTACGCGACAGGCACATGCCAAAGGCAATGAGAACCCCGCGTATATAATTGACTTTCTTGATACAGATCATCTCCTTGCGTCGCATGAACTCAATTAGCTTGCCGAGTGGCTTCTCCCATGCGTACATCTTGATCACTTGGATGCCGGAAATAAATTCGTTCATCATTCGCACCCGCTCGTCCGTGCGTAATGCTGTCCGGAGACGCAGCGCAGATGTTTTCTTTGCTAAATAGGCTTGCATAGGCAGGAACAGCAACATTACGGCGACGCCAAAGAAGGCGGCAACTCCGATCTGTGGTTATAATAATGTAAATAGATAATTTCGAATACGACCGCATTTAGTTACCTTTTGATACATAAAGAATGTAACCACAAACAGTTCCAATGGAGCCAGCCATAAGAAGTGTACATTGACGAGAATCATATCAAAGCGTCCCACATCGTTGGACAGCAGATTCACCACCTGGCCTATCGATGTATCCCCCAGAGCTGTGTGGCTCAAGCGCAGCGACTTCCTATAAACCAGACTGCACAGTGCAACGCGCATTTTCATGCCCAAATGGAGCAGGCCGAGAATAAACGGATGTCCAGTAACGACGGAGAGGACAGAGGCAGTCATGAGGCCCGCTGCGTATAGCTGTGCTTTAATGGGGTCGGGATCTTCGCCCGAAAAGTATTGCATTATACCATACAGGCACATGGGCTGCGTAACCCTAAAACAAGTCTCTCATTAATATATCTATATGGGTTGCAAAGGACCGTGTTGGGGTCTACTTACTTTACTATGAACTCTCTGACTCCCAGCAGCAACCCAGTCATAAACAGATGCCAACCAAACACACGTATCACAACGCGCCCCAAGCGTGGCTGTTTCTGTTGAGCCGATCTCTGAATTGCTTCCTCATCCCAAGCCGCGCACAGGCGGTCGCCAAGTATATCTGTGAGAAGGGAGCAATATAACGAAATCAACTCTATGTAAACATCACATCAAGATATTTATATATATATATATATATACGTATGAGAAAGTTTCCAGGATATCAATCGTAACAGCGAAGATGTCTATTTAATAGCTCATTCTCGATCTGCCTGAGACAGTCTACTTTTTCTAACATACTTGAAATATTCTAAGCCAATCGATAGTATCGCAACGGACGACAGTACGAAGGAGTTAAATTGCTATCAGACTAAAATGAACTAAATTCGGAGAAAAAATGCAACAAGAACTAGTTACATTTTAAAATTTAAACGTTTTTTGTGCTCATTTAACAGCAAAATTAAAAATAATTTAAGATAAATGCAAGTCATTGAATCTTATAAATTTCATTTATCTTTATCTTAACACCTTATTTATTATCTTATGGCATGCCTTACCTGATTTGTGTTCTTTTAGCGGCCGGTATAGATCTGGTTGCTCCAGGGTCTTCTTACGGCCCTTGAATAATACCGGAAAGACAAAGCTTTACGATGCCATGATACATGCAGATATAAAGATAACGTTAATATTTTATGGTGTCAAGTAGAAAAAAAAACACATTTTAATTTGATGGAGGCCTTACAGACAAGCAAATAGCAACAAAAAGATAACTTATATATTTTTATATAATATACAAAATGTGTATTGAATTCATAGTTAACGAAAATATGCGCCAATAACTTCGCTGTTTTTGCACATTATCAGTGCAAAAAATCATAAATTATATATACATACATCAATCATATATGAGTACAGGGTATCTGAGTGTGGACTATATTTGCAAATTCACACTTACGTGCAGTTGTTTTATGTTGTATTTACATACTAGATACCTCAACATTTTACTACAAAACTTATTTGTATATTTTAACACTCTGAAAGATAAGATAATGGTATATCATGCTCAATCATTTTGTTCTGTTAATGATTAAATGATATTCGGTGGTTCAAAAAAAATGTTTTGTCATAGTTGTCAATCTTATATCTAACGCCATAAAACCAACATGGCTGGTGAAATTGCAGACTCACCAGAGCATAAGTTCCGAAAATGGGTTGCTCCGTTCGCGCGGATTTTCTGGTAGCTCATCTGCTTTAACTGATTGCATTTTGGTTTTTTTCTTTTTTATTTACTCCGACAAGTAAACCAAATACACTTTACACTTGTGTACAAACCTATAAGTGTTCAATTGCCACAAATCACACATTCAATTATTCGCTTCGATATTCTTTGTATATGTATGTATATATATTTTTATAGTTTATATATACCCTTGTTTTAGTTTGATTTTCTCAGCACACGAGGTTTGCTGCGCGAGCAACTCAGTTCTGTGGAATTTTATTTTTACAATAACGAAAATTTTCCACTGTGCAGGTTGCTTGCGCCAGAGATGCTGCCGCTATATGATGGACGATTTGAATAAAATCTGTAAATCTGAAGTACTCAATGAAACTAACACACTTTTTATACATATAATGAATTACATCACACAAGGAAATTATCAGATAACAATATATGTACATTTAATTGTTTTTTAAGACACTATTTATCGAATTTCTCCGGCGTCTATCCACACACAGCTGTTCACTCTCCGGCTGACGAACACGTTCTAAATCACAGCTGACTAGCTGGTCCCTTTTATGGGAACAGACAACTGTTGCGGTTACTCTTTCGCTCTCTTTGGAACTTAAGCTCTCTCGAACGCGTGTGCTTTTATTATGCGCTTTACAGTTTATGGTTATTTCTTGGTCGGCGCTATTTTATAGACTAACTGCAAAACTTATTCAATTCATTCTCTTATTATCTGGATAATAAGATAAGATAATGAAATTAAGATGAACATACAATTTTCTATGTAAATAAATTTATAATTTGCATACTCAGTTTCCACGCATGGCACTGTTAACTGCTTTGCTAGTTATTTTGTGTATATTTTATTGAACTGCTTTATTGTAGCGTTGTTAGGAAATCGGAATACTGAAATAAATTTGTCAATACTCGGACATTATTAAGGAAGTTTCAATTCAGTACTATTTAATAGTTTGTACATATAATATTTAAAATATCAAAAGCATTCACTTAAATATCTTTTCTAATCAATAAAACAATTCCTTCTAGGCAGCTTTTATTTTCTGTGATTCCAAATGAGTCTGTTAAAGAAATTTAAAAGTTACTTATTTGCATATTGACGCTCGTAAAGTGGATTACTTACCGTTTCCGCTACTTTTAGCAGACTATCGAAGCTGCTCTGACCCGTCTCCATGACCATACTATGAAAGATCTTCGACTCGCATTCTGTCAGCAGTTCATAGGGTGAGCCAAATTCCACCAGCTGGCCAGCATCCATGACTATAACCTTGTCTGAGTCCATAATCGTGTTCAGCCGATGGGCTATTGTCAGCACTGTGCACTCCCTGAACTTATTCCTTATTGTCGCCTGGATGAGCGCATCTGTCTGTGGATCCACATTGGCTGTGGCCTCGTCCATCACCAAGATACGATTCTCGCGAAGAATAGCACGTGCCAGGCACACCAACTGTCTCTGACCCACACTAAAGTTGGTGCCGCCCTCTGAAATCTTGCTCTGAAGTCCACTTGGTAGCTCGCTGATGACAGGCTTCAGCTTGACCTCCTCCAGTGCATCCCATAGCTTGGCATCACTGTATTCCTCGAATGGATCCAGATTATAGCGCATGCTACCCGAGAAGAGCACCGGTTCCTGGGGTATGATCGAGATTTTGCTGCGCAGGTCGTGAAGTCCCAGTTCGCTGGTGTCACGACTGTCGATGATGATGGAGCCATCATTGTAGGAGAGGCGGAAGAGGGCGTTGATGAGCGAGGACTTGCCTGCACCGGTGCGACCCACAATGCCCACCTTTTCCATGGGCTTAATCTCGAAGTTGAGAGACTTGAGCACATATTTGGACTGTGGATCGGGGAAATACCGAAGACTGAGATCGTCAGCCACAATTTTGCCCTGCTCTGGCCATGTGATTGGTGGCTTTTTGCTTGGTTGGGACTCATATTCGCCTTCAGGCTCGATCTCATCGTACTCCACGACACGTTCCACCGCTGTCATGGTGTTCTCCAGCTCCGCAGATTGTCGCATGCCCCACTGTACCATTCCAGTCATGCCCATGGCTTGCGTAATTGCTAATCCCACCTCACCAGAGTTTTCGGGTGGGTTGATGAAGTAGTTGAGTATAATTATCACAATGTACAATGTGCAAAAGCAGTCCAGGTAGTAGCCAAATGCACGATTTGTAGACAGGAAAGTGTAGTAGCCGGAGCTGTGCAGATCCTGCAGGTTATCGAACTCGGCAATAAGCGCCTTCTGAGCTTCCATGGCTCTAATCGTAGGGAGTCCATTGAGAGAAGCACTGAGGTGGGAATAGATCGGAGATCTGGCAACTGCCTCCAATCGCTTAACATCTCTCGAGGTCTTTAGGTAAAACTCTCGAATATAATAGAAAACGATCCCCAGAGCAAGAGTTAGGATGAGATAATAAGGATTAGTTATACAGATAACAACAATAATGCCCGTTAGTGACAGAAAGATCTCAATCACGTCCAGCATGACGGTGGGCAGGATCTCATCTATCTGCCCCAGATCCTTTGAGAACCGATTTAATATCCGACCGGAAGGGTTTGTGTTAAAGAAGTACATTGCCGCTCTGGTAATGCCACGAAACATGGCGTTATGGAGCTTTGTGGAGCTGCGCATGGCCAGGATATAGAAGAGCATAGTCCGGACGAGGGTGAATACTATGACGGCTATGTTAAGGGCGGTGAAGTAGTAAATATCGAGGGAATCCGAGTCTCTGTCTGCGGCGTTTTTGTTCTTGTCAACCCTGTAATTAAGAAACATTAATACAATCGTCTTATATGGAAGAGAGATAATATATTACCAATAGGAGAGAAAAACATCAGCTGAGGAACCCACAATTTGTGTACCCAAGCAAAGAAATACCAGAAGACTTATGAGGAACCAACCACTTCCTGCTGTGAAGTACTCCCTATAGAGACCCAAGCCGATTTTGCCTTCCACCCGAGTTTCCTGGCAAGCCGTAGGCTCCTCTGGAGCAATAGACTCGGTCAGTGAGCTTACTGAATTTATACTGTCTGTCTGTGATGTCTGTCGGTTAAATTTCTTATCCAAGGAGTCACCAGCGTTTTCATCGAACTCCCCAATGGCCTTGTTGGGACTGGCTAAGAGCTGTGCAAAATCCAGGCCACTGCGCTGCATCGTTGTATAGGTTCCCATTGCACTGATTTGCCCTTTATTTATTATTACAATGAGATCCGCGAGCTCAAGAAATTGAAGTTGATGTGTAACCAATATGACCAGCTCGCTCCTTAGATACCCTCTCATGCACTGGTCAAACAGATGACGACCCACGTGCGTATCCACAGCACTGAGTGGATCATCCAGCAGGTAAATGTCCGCCCTACGATACACAGCTCTTGCCAGGCTAATGCGCGCTTTCTGTCCGCCGGAAAGAGAAGCTCCCCTTTCGCCCACGATCGTCTTATCTCCTTGAGGAAGAAGTTCCAAGTCATTTTCTAGTGCACATTTCTTAACCACTGTGCGATAGCGATGCTTGTCCAGGGTTAATCCAAACAATATGTTTTCACGAACAGTTCCAGTGAAGAGCCAAGGTTCTTGAGCGGCATATGAGAATTTGCCATTGACTTTAAGGCTGCCTTTTTCACAGGGCAGCTCACCGAGAATGGATTGTATTAAACTGGATTTGCCTGAGCCGACGGGTCCAATCACCGCGACTAGCTGTCGGCGACCCAATTTCAGATTGATATTCTCCAGGGTGTTCTCTGTGGCGTTGGTGTCCCACTTGGCATTGAATTGACTGAATTCAACAAGGGATTCTTCACTGTTTTTGTTTCGTATCACATCTCCGTTAAGCACGAACTTGTCTTTATCGGTCTCGCTATCCTTGAGCTGCCTTTCCTCCCGATTCATAAAGGTCTCGAGACGTTTGATGCTTACTTGAAGCTCCATTAATTGAGAAATGCTCATCGGAAAGAAACTTGTTACTGCCCGTTGCAGTAGGCTGTAGTAGGCGGTGATGAAGAAGGCCTCGCCGGCAGTCAAAATGTTTCCTAGCAGCACGAAACCCACCAGGCTGACAAAGGCAAAGGTACGGGATAGGCACATGCCAAAAGCGATGAGAATACCACGTATATAGTTGACTTTCTTGATGCAGATCATCTCATTGGAACGCGTAAGCTCCACAAGTTTGCCAAAAGGCTTTTCCCAGGCATACATCTTAATTACTTGGATGCCCGATATGATCTCGTTCATCATTCGGACGCGCTCGTCCGTTCGCAGGGCCGTGAGCAGGCGCAACGTTGATGTCCTTCGCGCCAGGTAAGACTGTAGGGGCATAAAAAGCAGCATCAGAGTCACGCCAAAGAAGCAGGCGACGTTAATCTGCAATAGGATATAAGTAGGATATTATTGAAACAAATCCTAGTTCCATCTTCAGTTTACCTTTTCATACATTAAATAGGTTACTATAACCAATTCCAGCGGGCCTAGCCATAAATAATGTATATTGGATAGGACAGAATCGAAGCGTCCCACATCGTTGGACAGCAGATTCACCACCTGACCTATCGATGTATTCCCCAAAGCTGTATGACTCAAACGCAATGCCTTCCGATAGACCAGGCTGCAGAGAGCTACGCGCATTTTCATGCCCAGATGCATGATGCCCAGCATACAGGGATGACCTGTGACCACGGAAAACACAGAAGTTGCTATAAGGGCCACCGCGTACAACTGGCCCTTAATTGGATCCGGATCCTCGCCCGAGAAGTAGGCCATAACACCAAAGAGGCAAATGGGCTGGGTAACCCTGGAAGAAGGAACACGTTGAGCAAATGATCTTAGGAGTCTTGAGAACTATTACTTACTTGGTTAGCAATTCTTTGGAGCCCAATAGCACACCAGTCACAAATAGATGCCAGCCGAAGGTGCGCGCCACAACGCGCCCCAAGCGAGGTGGTTTCCCTTGAGCTGATCTCTGAAGTAGTTCCTCATCCCAGGCGGCGCACAAGCGATCTCCAAGTGCATCTGATGATTAGCTTGATAGCTATTTAGCTTTAAATTTAGTTTTAAAGTTATATTTTATATAATACCCGATTTGTGCTCTTTCAGTGGCCGATATAAATCTGATTGTTCCAGTGTCTTTTTGTGGCCCTTGAACAGAACGGGAAAGACAAAGCTGCAAGTTTTTGTCGCTTCGAATAAGTAACATAAAGATATTTTATTTCATTCATGATTTAAGCCGCAAACAAACTACACAATAATAAACGTTGTCTTATCAACAACGCGCCAAATTCAAAATGTATTTCAAATACGTCACACTTCTTTTTTTAAAAAGTCTGTGGGAGTGTCGTCAAGTCGTCAAGGCTATTAAATATTATAAGAGCACTCGTTTTATTGGAGACCCGGCTGATAAGATATCAAACAAATAAATACTATGTATATGATTTGATTAGCACCTCGGTGGGAAACTTAAACCAGCCTTGAGTCATATTTATTTGGGTGTTTTCTATAACACACTTGTGTATCGATATAGAATTTAAATACATAGTCCAATTACCATTATTGACTCATCAACAGACCAATTAACCGCGAACAATTGGACTCACCAGAACATGAGCTCCGACAATGGATTGATACGTTCTCGCGGATTCTCCGGTAGCTCATCGGCTTTCAAATGAGGCATTGTAAATGCTACTATAAATTAATTCACTATAGTTATTTACATACAACTAACCAGTTAACCAGTTGAGTATTTATTTGAATTTTTTATAATGAGTTAACTGTCACAAACGCGGTTTTAAATCTGGGGAAATTCCACTGTGCTCCAGATGCTGAAGATATCACTGATGTAAGTATTATTAGGATCTATTCTACTATCCAAGAGCAAACAGTTTATATTGTATTTTTACAGATAAATCTGTATTTCATATTATAATGAAACCGTCAAATAAAAAGCAAACATTTTTAGCATTAATTTACTTTCATTAAGAGACCGAGTGTTTGCTCTACGGCCGCGGAATTCGTTCTAATACACAGCTGATCGATTACCGCTTTTTATGTGAACTGCTTGCGCGAGCACAGCTTTTGCTCTCTCCGACGCTTCGGACTTCAACTATGAGTGTTACATCTTATCATAATCAGTTGGACGGCGTTCAAATGGCCTTATCGGTCAGCACGTCTCTTGGAGTCTGGAACGCTTGACAAGTTCAGATAAGATAAATGTGGCACCCATGGTCAGGAACTAAGTAGTAAATATTATTAAATCTGAAAAACCTCAAACAAATTTGGCAAATTTGTCAACTGCTTTGTGCGTTATTTAAATGTGAACTGCTTTCTTACTTATCTCTTTAACAGTTATTCTGCACTGTTACGCTCAGATACGATTTGCACATGTTGTAAAACTTGTAGCTTGGAAAATTTATTTAATCTTAGTTTTAATGTAGCATTACATTCTAAAGTTCGTAGAAATAATACTTTAAGTAACACATAAAAAAAAATCACTTAGAAGCAGTATAATTTCTATGAGACTTATGCTTAAAGCTAGTCAATGAGGTTATTTTTATGACTGTGGAATATTAATTGGATTCTAGGCAGTTTTGGACTTCTGTGATTCCATATAAGCCTGAAATTAAATAAGACGTATTACCACATGCAATTTTAATCACAGGAATGACAATTTACCTTCTCAGCTACCTTTAGCAGGCTATCGAAGCTGCTCTGACCCGTCTCCATGACCATACTGTGAAAGATCTTCGACTCGCATTCTGTCAGCAGTTCATAGGGTGAGCCAAATTCCACCAGCTGGCCAGCATCCATGACTAAGACCTTGTCCGAATCCATAATCGTGTTCAGCCGATGGGCTATTGTCAGCACTGTGCACTCCCTGAACTTATTCCTTATTGTCGCCTGGATGAGCGCATCTGTCTGTGGATCCACATTGGCTGTGGCCTCGTCCATCACCAAGATACGATTCTCGCGAAGAATAGCACGTGCCAGGCACACCAACTGTCTCTGACCCACACTAAAGTTGGTGCCGCCCTCTGAAATCTTGCTCTGAAGTCCACTTGGTAGCTCGCTGATGACAGGCTTCAGCTTGACCTCCTCCAGTGCATCCCATAGCTTGGCATCACTGTATTCCTCGAATGGATCCAGATTATAGCGCATGCTACCCGAGAAGAGCACCGGTTCCTGGGGTATGATCGAGATTTTGCTGCGCAGGTCGTGAAGTCCCAGTTCGCTGGTGTCACGACTGTCGATGATGATGGAGCCATCATTGTAGGAGAGGCGGAAGAGGGCGTTGATGAGCGAGGACTTGCCTGCACCGGTGCGACCCACAATGCCCACCTTTTCCATGGGCTTAATCTCGAAGTTGAGAGACTTGAGCACATATTTGGACTGTGGATCGGGGAAATACCGAAGACTGAGATCGTCAGCCACAATTTTGCCCTGCTCTGGCCATGTGATTGGTGGCTTTTTGCTTGGTTGGGACTCATATTCGCCTTCAGGCTCGATCTCATCGTACTCCACGACACGTTCCACCGCTGTCATGGTGTTCTCCAGCTCCGCAGATTGTCGCATGCCCCACTGTACCATTCCAGTCATGCCCATGGCTTGCGTAATTGCTAATCCCACCTCACCAGAGTTTTCGGGTGGGTTGATGAAGTAGTTGAGTATAATTATCACAATGTACAATGTGCAAAAGCAGTCCAGGTAGTAGCCAAATGCACGATTTGTAGACAGGAAAGTGTAGTAGCCGGAGCTGTGCAGATCCTGCAGGTTATCGAACTCGGCAATAAGCGCCTTCTGAGCTTCCATGGCTCTAATCGTAGGGAGTCCATTGAGAGAAGCACTGAGGTGGGAATAGATCGGAGATCTGGCAACTGCCTCCAATCGCTTAACATCTCTCGAGGTCTTTAGGTAAAACTCTCGAATATAATAGAAAACGATCCCCAGAGCAAGAGTTAGGATGAGATAATAAGGATTAGTTATGCAGATGACAATAATTATGCCTATCAGCGTCAAAAAGACTTGAACTACGTCCAGCATGACAGAGGGCAGAAGTTCATCTATCTGTCCCAGATCCTTTGAGAACCGATTTAATATCCGACCGGAAGGGTTTGTGTTAAAGAAGTACATTGCCGCTCTGGTAATGCCACGAAACATGGCGTTATGGAGCTTTGTGGAGCTGCGCATGGCCAGCCTATAGAAGAGCATAGTCCGGACGAGGGTGAATACGATGACGGCTATGTTAAGGGCGGTGAAGTAGTAAATATCGAGGGAATCCGAGTCTCTGTCTGCGGCGTTTTTGTTCTTGTCAACCCTGGAATTAAGAAACATTAATACAATCGTCTTATATGGAAGAGAGATAATATATTACCAATAGGAGAGAAAAACATCAGCTGAGGAACCCACAATTTGTGTACCCAAGCAAAGGAACACCATAAAAGATATCATTAGCCAGCCGGTGCCTGCTGTGAAGTATTCCTTGTATAGACCCAGACTGATCTTGCCCTCGACACGCGTCTCTTGTGGTGCCATGGCTGCGTCCTGGGCAATAGAATCGGTAAGGGAGCTCAAGGAGCTGAAGCTTTCATTGCGCGAAGGTTGGTTTGATTTGTTTGTTCTACTGCCACGCCTGCTGCGTGAGGCCAAGCTCAGACGGTCCCAAATATCGCCAGCCTCGCTCTCCTGATCATTGGATGCTTCATCGGTCTTGTTGGGATCCGTTAAGAGCTGTGCAAAGTCCAGTCCACTGCGCTGCATTGTGGTATATGTTCCCATTGCACTGATTTTGCCTTTTTCCATGATAACAATCAGATCGGCATGCTCCAAAAACTGCAGTTGATGTGTTACCAATATGACCAGCTCGCTCCTTAGATACCCTCTCATGCACTGGTCAAACAGATGACGACCCACATGCGTATCCACAGCACTGAGTGGATCATCCAGCAGGTAAATGTCCGCCCTACGATACACAGCTCTTGCCAGGCTAATGCGCGCTTTCTGTCCGCCGGAAAGAGAAGCTCCCCTTTCGCCCACGATCGTCTTATCTCCTTGAGGAAGAAGTTCAAAGTCACGTTCTAGTGCACATTTCTTTACCACTGTGCGATAGCGATGCTTGTCCAGGGTTAATCCAAACAATATGTTTTCACGAACAGTTCCAGTGAAGAGCCAAGGTTCTTGAGCGGCATAGGAGAATTTGCCATTGACTTTAAGGCTGCCTTTTTCACAGGGCAGCTCACCGAGAATGGATTGTATTAAACTGGATTTGCCTGCGCCGACGGGTCCAATCACCGCCACGAGCTGTCGGCGACCCAATTTCAGATTGATATTGTCCAGGGTGTTCTCCGCCGCCTTGCTATCCCACTTGGCATTGAATTGACTGAATTCAACGAGAGTTTCTAGATTGCCATTGACCTTTGGCACATCGCCATTGGCGTTTTTGATAAGAGTGCCATTTTCCTTATCATTAACAGCGGCAGAGGCTGCGACATCAATCGATTTGTCTTGGATCTGAGTCTCCTCCCGGTGCATGAAAGTCTGCAGACGTCTGATGGACACCAAAAGTTCCGCAAACTGCCCGATGCCTTGCGGAAAGAACATAGTGACCGTGCGCCGGAGTATGTTGTAGTAGGCGGTGACATAGAAGGCCTTTTCGGCTGTCAAGATGTTTCCCAGCAGCACATAGCCCACCAGACTGGAGAACGTGAACACGCGGGAAAGAAACATGGCAAACGATATGAGAATGCCACGTATATAGTTGACCTGTTTGATGCATATCATTTCTCGGCGCCGCGTGATCTCAATAAGTTTGCCAAATGGCTTTTCCCAGGCGTACATCTTGATCACCTGAATGCCCGATATGATCTCGTTCATCATTCGGACACGTTCGTCTGTGCGCAGGGCCGTACGCAGGCGTAGCACAGAGGTCTTCTTGCCCAGATAGGCTTGAAGGGGCAGGAAGAGCAACATAACAGCGACGCCAAAGAGCGCCGAAATTCCAATCTGAATATTCCAAAGACATTAAAGGAATAATCCTGAATGCCCCCCTCTAGCCCTACTCACCTGGTCATACATGAAGTAAGTGACAACGATCAGCTCCAGTGGCGCCAGCCAGAGGTAATGTAAATTGATCAGCACGCTATCGAAGCGACCAACATCATTCGACAGCAGATTCACCACCTGCCCGATGGTCGTGTCACCCAGTGCGGTACGGTTTAGCCGCAGAGCCTTGCGATAGATCAAGCTGCACAGGGCAACGCGCATTTTCATGCCCAGATGCAGGAGACTGAGCATATACGGATGGCCGAATACAACAGTAAACACAGAGCCCGCCATGAGACCCGCTGCGTAGAGCTGTGCCTTGGTTAAGTCTGTATCGTCGCCCGCGAAGTAGGCCATCATGCCAAAGAGGCAAATGGGTTGCGTTACTCTGAAAGTGGTTACAATTTGAAACGAATGATATTCGGAAGTCTTCGACAAGCTACTTACTTGGTGAGGAACTCCTGAGCGGCCAGCAATAAGCCGGTCAGGAGCAGATGCCAACCAAAGACGCGGATTACCACGCGGCGCAAGCGAGGCGGAAGATTTTGAGCCGATCTGCGTTCAACTTCCTCATCCCAGGCCGAAGAAAGGCGGTCGCCAAGCGTATCTATAGATAGAATTATCAGTATTAATAATATTAATACAGTGTCATGA